GAAGAGCCATATTTTTTTTTAGTTTTGCTTATATGCGCACTCAGTATTTTTGACCATTTAATAAATTTTGTTGTAAGTCACATTCGTTTAATAATCACCCGTCAACTTTTTTTCCCTAACGCGATCTAAAAAAAATTATTGCCATTTTTAAAAATATCCCTAGACTTTTCCGATGTGTGTGTGTATATATATATATAGTTGTTAGGATTTGATCCCCTCCATAAATCTTTTCCATAATACTTGCTGTAACTGATTTAATGTTTGCTACAGAAATTCTACTTGGATCAATGAAATTCAAAAACGAGAGATATACCATATATTTGTTAATGCAGTATCTATAATGGTATTCATTTTATAATGGAGTATTTTTTCAACAGATATTCAAAATCACTAACAACAACTCAAATTCGATCTTATCACTCGAGTTGTTGAGCCACCAGCTGATGTTGGAATCACAATAAAATCAATTGTGTGAGATACAATTTCATTGAATTATGTGACATACAACAATTTCTTAATGATGACCAAAGTGAGTCTAATCAGACATTCAATCCATCGTGTCATACCACCAGCGAATAAAATCGATAATAAAAAATTGGTATAAATAAAAACAATATTATAATACAATAACAAAACTATCGACTCAATGGACCTTCGAGCTGAATAGATTCTCATCTTAAACATTTAAAGTTGTCAGACGTATGGATGTGGATGCTCTTTTCAACATCAACTGAGGTTAACGCAACTCTCGACTTCTCCCTAATAATTTATTGTTGATTTCATAACATCTAAAACAATTTTCGTAAAATTATTCAGCTTCTTTTAGTAGGGTGGCCAGTTGAAAAAAAAAGCCTATGAATTTACTCAATAGAATAAAATAAAACCACTATCTACAATCATCCAAAACAACACCCACCCTACCAAAGTCACTGAGAATCACAAAAGTATATAATACAATAGTATAATTAAAACCCCTAATTGATCAACATAACAATTACATACAGAAATTGGAAAAATAGCGTACCACAATCGGCTGGTTTTTAAAGAAATTTATAGTGGACCAAATCTTTTAAAAATTGTGCTAAATCCATTCAAACTTGAACAATAGATTGTGATACATAAAACAACTGACTTGAATTATATATGTAAAATATATATGAAAATCCTTCGATGTTGTTTTATATGTTGACGATAATCACAGACTAAAAGAGTTACTACTAGTAAAATATCCGAAAATTAATTAGAACGAAAAATCAACTTGTGCTTTCTTTCGATGTTTTATATCGAACAAGTTGGATCCACTATAGATTATTCAACTTTTATCTTACTATACATGAAAATATGAGAAAAATTCAATAATCACAATTTCAAGATTTCGAAAAGCATATAACATGAAAATGATTACAGTGTGACCTTAAAAAAGTCTTAAATCACCTCAACAAGGCAAGATATCAAGATGGTATAGAATTAAGGACAAATTTCTTGACATGAAAATGGTTCATATCGGACTGATCTGTGTGAAGTGTACAGGAATACGTTCTCTACTTTTTTATACTCAATACTTGTTCAACGGATACAGTTATCAAAGTTACAGTCTGCTCCAATAGTTTCTAACACTTTTTCATAAAAGAAAAATGGTTGACAGACACTTTAACAAGTAGGACAGGTAATAACTTGTTGCCTCAAGTCCAACAGTCGAGAGTAATTAAAGACTTCATATGGACACACCTGTCATTTTGAAACGACCACTCAATAGACTTATTTTTACAAATTGAAGCGTCACTATAGTTTTTTCTGATATAATCAGTGTATAGTAATGACTTGGGCTCATTTTAACAAACCTTACAGTGAAAATTGACTTCAAAATCTAGAAAAAATACCAATTGCTTCGAGTTCAACAGCTAATGGTGAAAACCGTGAAAAAACTATTGTAACTTCACCCTCTTGTTCTAGCAACAATGCTTCGACCACAGAAACATGAATGTTGTGCAAATTCGTCCTATAAATATATCTCAAGCACAGCATTTTCAAACTAGTTGATTTCTGGCTTACACAGACATGTCCCCTAATGGAAGATATGTGGAATCAACTTTGTCACAAGTCGAAACACGCCAAGTTCTGTGCATAAACAAGAAACACTTGCGCCTGCTACAGAAGGCCCATGGAACCCATTACCATACAATGGTAGCAATACTGGTCCATTTGAAAATATTTTTAGAAATGGTCCCACGTTGGGAGCCGAAAAAAAATGTTCAAGAGAGGCAGCAACTAGACAAACGTCATCTGACAATTCTTCTTTGCCTAGGACTTGTTTCCCTGCGCTGCTCAATATGTTGCAGCGCTGATAGTGCCAACGCTAAAGGTAACTAAGGTAAGGCAGTATTAAAATGGCCGCAAGATTATATGCCTAAATTCAAATACACATACATTCTGAGTAACACGTATTATTATTCTAGAAATGCTAACGACTCTATGATTCGAACTATTCAGCTTCTTATGGTAGGATGGGTGCAGTAATGTTCCTATAATATAAGAAGGAAAAACAATCATTAAAACTTGGAAAGCGAGAATTTTTCCGAAAATAATACGTCTTTCTTTCAACAAAAGCAGCATAACACCCGAAACCTAAGTCCAAGTTGTGTATGTCGAAAATTCTGTTACTTTTATTGAAAGACAAACGCAAGATGAGAGTGCGGAGGAAATGAAAGGTGAAACAAATGAATTGTACTCACATTGCTGTTGAAGAGGAGCTACATAATTGCTTGGGAACAATCCTGACACTCCGTTCAGCTCCCCCTTCCACCAGGCTTCTTCTTCTCGGGCAGTCACACTGATAATATCATCTTTCGCAAAGGTCAGTTCGTCTGGGTTTCCAGCTGTGTAGGGATATAAGGCAACCACTTTGTCTAAATAACAAAAAAAAGCATTGAGTTGGGTGTACCAATGACGCTTTAATTTTACTCAGAAAAAGGTTCATCCAGGATCTTACTGCATAAAAGAATCCCAAAATAATCAAATCAGTTTGTCAAATACTCACCAATAACAATTTCCTGCTGCATCCGCGTCGTCGAAACAGGAGTAGACCTCCCGCTCACCTTGCCCGAACTGTTTAGTACCTTGACATAGCTCGCGGGGAACCATCCTACCTGTCTCTTCCTGCCTTTCGCCTGGAGCTCTCCCTCCCACCAACCGGAATCAGTCTTTTTGCGGATCATAATCAGTTGACCCCTTGCCAGTGATAACTGCTCAGGGCTGGTCGACTGATAGGGCGCTATTACGGAAGCTATTTCCGGCTTTTTGCTCTTCATCACCTGTTGGGAATATAAAACATAAATGCAACACGAATAGATATAAATTTTTTTTTGGTCCCACATTGGGCGCCAAAAATTAAAATCCATATTTTATATCAGTTTATGTTGCAGCAAAGAAATATGCTTAGAAATTATTCTGCAATTAAAACCTTCATTCGGTATATCTTGAAGAATTGGTTACAAGTAAAAACACGATGTATGATATTTCATCAGTTCGGACTTCGTTTGTCTAATATAATATAAATTGATTGACTGATCAGTTTCGACGTGGAAAGCCTCTACACCAACGTTCCTGTCGAAGAAGCACTTCAAATCATACAGAAGAAGCTACCCGAAGATGGGGACCTGAAAGATAGAACAAACTTAACAAGTAATCATGAAATTAATAGGATGCTGTGTACGAAACTGCTACTTTCAACTGAAGGACGAATTCTTTACGCAAGATGAGGGACTGCCAATGGGATCGCCACTTTCACCTGTTATAGTCAATATATATATATGGAGTGGTTTGAAACTCTGGCCATTGAAGAAGCCCACAAGAAGCCTCGAGTCTGATTGAGATACGTAGACGACACCTTCATAATATGAAACCATGGGAATGCAGAACTAGACACTTTCCTGAAGCACATCAACAACGTAAGTCCTTCCATCACTTTCTCAATGGAGAAGGAAGTCCACAACGAATTGTCTTTCTTAGACGCATTGGTAAAGAGGACCGACACGAAATGGAAAACATCTGTATATCGAAACCCACTCACACAGGACAGTATCTGAACCAGAAATCCAACCACCATCAATTAACTAAGACTCTACTAGATCATGCCTTCGGGCTCTGTAATACAAAGGAAGGTCTCGAAAGGGAACTAGGCATCATCAAAAACGATCTTCAACGGAATGGTTACTCCAGAGTGATGGTAGAACAGGCTTTAGCTAGAAGACAGCAAGAGCTCCACAAGGAAGAGGAGCCTCCACAACCAGTACTTGTACTTCCCTACATCAGAGGATTATCGGAGAGGATACGAAGGATTGGGTCCAAGTATAACATCAGGACCTGCTTCAGATCTAGGAACACTATCCGTAGCAGCCTCACGAAAACCAGGCCACCAAACGCGGACTGCGATTCCAAAAATTGCATTTACCGGATTCCCTGCGAGTGTGGAGAATCATACATCGAAAACCCACTCACACAGGACAGTATCTGAACCAGAAATCCAACCACCATCAATCGACTAAGAGAGGAATCATCAAGACTCTACTAGACAGTGCTTTTGGGCTCTGTAATACATAGGAAGGTCTCGAAAAGGAACTAGGCATCATCAAAAATTACCTACAACGGAATGGTTACTCCAGAGTGATGGCAGAACAGGCTTTAGCTAGAAGACAGCAAGAACTCCACAAGGAAGAGAAGCCGCCACAACCAGTACTTACACTCCCCTACATCAGAGGATTATCGGAAAGGATAAGAAGGATTGGGTCCAAGTACAACATCAGGACCTGCTTCAGATCTGGAAACACTATCCGTAGCAGCCTCACAAAACCCAGGCTACCAAACGCGGACTGCGATTCCAAGAATTGCATTTACCGAGTACCCTGTGAGCGCGGAGAATCATACATCGGTGAAACTAAGAGGCCATTGAAAGTTCGCATTGCGGAGCACAACACACACAGCGAGGAGAAACCAGCAAATCCGGAATAGCAGAGCATGTTTGGACTCATCAACATAACATCAAGTGGGCTCAAGCTGAAATCATCCACAAAGAGGAACACTGGTTTAGGAGAAAATTCAAAGAAGCCGCGTATATTTTGTCCAACAACGAATTCAGTCAAGCTAGCGTAGAGAGACGTAACATATGGAAACCTCTTCAAACGAAAAACGACCAACTCCCGCCAAATGGTCATCTCCCGCTAAAAACCAATGAAGCGGAAATTGTGAAGAGGGGATACGTGAAAGCACTCGAACGATCTATAAATAGCCATATCTCGGAGGAATAAGTCCAGTTATCACCCGAAGACGATTGTGGATACTAACAATCGAAACGTCGTGACATTACTTGGTTTGAAATCTTTTAATTTTAATTTTTTCAGCTTTTATTAATATTTCAATTTTTCATTTGTTCAGTTGTAGATTGTATGTTATTTCCTTGTAATTTCAGTTTTTCGTTTAATAAAATTGTTATTTTCAGTTAATCTCATTAATTTTTTAATTGTTTTTTCAGGGATTTCAAATAAATTTATGTTACATTAGACAATGGAAGTCCGAACTGATGAAATACACCACGAATTGTCAACCACAATTACACTACTAGACAAAATGACAATTTTCACCTGCCACGATGTAGTTTATCAAACTCCATGAAAATTTTATTATATAAAGGCCTCATTGAATATAACAAAGTTCCCCAAAATGTGAAGAATAATAAAAACCTGTTTCAATTCAAAAAAGATTTGACTGATTATATGAAAGGTATCACAATAGAATAGATAGTAAGTGACTCGGTATATATTATGTATTTATGTGTACCTATATGTATATATGTATTATATCCTTACTATGTGTGTCTATATAACATGAAATATTATGTATATTATGTTTGTGTATTAGGATCTTCCTACCAATAAATCATTCATTCATTCATTCACCACCTTCAATCAAACGATGTATGATAATAGAAAGGACAATAGCAACAGTTTCTATTTCCCCAAATAAAATCTCACAAGTTTAATGAAGTATTTTTTCTACAAGAGACAGGGGGGGGTCTTAGGGACTATGAGAAATTACCAAGCAGGGGCTCAGTAATTGTGGGGCTCTTGGCGGCAAATCTTTACGAGGCCCTGGTCCATTACGAAATGTATATAAATTGAAAATTGGTATTTCTGGTTAGTGATGAAAGATGAAATTCATAAATAAATCAAGAGCTTTGAAATACCATTAAACAACTTATTGTGGCAATAATTCTCAGGGCTACTTCAGTGATTAAATTTCTTTCCATTTCAGCACCGAAATAACATCGTCGCTTCCTTCACCTAAGCAGCTAATAGAATAAGAGTTGACAGAAGTCACGGGGATTTTCCGAACATAAATACAATGACAGTAATAAAACAGTGTGGCGCATTGATGTGGTGCGCGAGAGGAGAAATTCAAATTGATTGAATTTTTAGTTCAGCTTTGCTTTTTGAGTCAAACCTTCTTTGTTTCAATAAGAGCCTTAAAATGAAATATAGTTTGAAACGTCATCTTCGCGAGATCTCTGCAAAAACTAGGCCCTGGGCGGTTACCCTGCTCGCCACTGCCAAAGGTCGCCACTGTATATCAAGGAACATATCAATTTCATGAAATCACTGTAAATAAGTAAGGTCTCAATGTTTAGCTGTAAGTAATTACTAAATATTTGTCAATTAGTTTCATTACTGTGGAATGTACAATCCACAAATATAAATTTTTGTTTGTATATTAGGGGCACCTACAAATAAATCGTCTTCTTCTTACCGTTCACGCTAAAGAAAAAAATTCTCAGAATACTGAGATATTAGAAGTCAATGAAGCAAAAGCATGCAAAATTATATTTGGTCACTCAACATCTGCTCCCATCTTTCGTGCATTGTTATCGAGTATTCAATTTTCTGGAAAAGCAACAAAGTTGATCAAAACGAAACGATCGAGCAAAAGTTGAGGGACGCACAAGCGAAAACATCACAAACCTGCGCGCCTGCCTGAATGTTAGCGTCTAATGGCACTTCTTTTCCGATAGGTTCACTCTGATTTATGAGAGAAACCTCGTTATCGGCTTGCGCGTTGACATTTTCAAGCGCTGACTGCACGGCCGCTGCTGACACCTCTGTGGAAAATTCTGAGGCGGTGTTAGCCGTCGGAGCAGTGTTAGCTGTCGGAGCGGTGTTAGCCGTCGGAGCGGTGTTAGCCGTCGAAGAGTTCTGACAAAACACAAAAATCTCACAGACTACACAACATGAAATTTTTCGGTTGAAGAAATTTGGTTGACGAAGTTTGGTGTATTTTTTCCGATTGTTTTGTTTAATATAAAAACACAAAATAAACATCGCTATTGGTGCTTTCGAAAATGGGACTGAATAACAGTATTTAATTTGAACTTTCGGAAATATAAAGGCAGTCCTCCAAATAATTAGATTTTGAGTATATATTGCCGGGCATAAAATTAGGATCACCTCATGAGTTGAGGTGCAGGTGCAAAAAAAAAAGAGAGAGGGAGATAGAGATCCGTAAAAATCAAGAAACTTTAAACTAACTTCAAATTACGGAGTTACCCTAATTTTATGCCCGGCAGTGTACTTATATACATTTAAAACTCGTGTGACATGTTTCTCATGTATATAAGTAGAGTAGAAAAGTAGAAGTATTTTCGTCACATGTTCATTTCCTAAATTTTTCTAATATTTCTTAAAATATATGGTTTTCCATACTACTCCAAACGACTACAAGGACGTCATCAAACTTGTCCCAACATTAAGGCTTTTCTTTACTATTATTGTCTTAGGATCAAAATTTTCAGAAAATATCTCAAAATTGCGAAATGTTTATATGCAAGTTCTTGATTTGTGTTATTTGTGATAAGTGTTATACTTGACACCATGACTACAATATTAAAAAAAAAACAAAAGCTAATTTAGTTAAGTATGTTTGATTCAATCATATAATCTTTCTTCATTAACTTTTTTATTCAATTTTATTTTTATAAATAACTTGGATTCAGAAGTATTAATCAAATATTGACAAATGGTATATTTTTCACAGTCATTTTCGTTCAAAATTGTAACGTTTTCGTGGCAGCTAGATTTGTGAAAAAGACCGAAATCTTCAGTGGAATGGTAGATAACAAGCAACGTTTACTAATGATAAACAACGAACAAACCAATACAAATAATTGACATATTAGTCAGTGCCATCTGTTGATAATGGAGAAATTCATTTCCTGCACTACTGACAAATTTTTATGAAAATCCTGAAATATTTCATGAAAGTACATCACTTTTCAATCCACACCTGACACCATTTTTGAGCTCCAGAGCTCTTGAATCAAATAGTGAAAGAATTGTGACTGATCATCCCTTACAAAAACAATTTTTGCGCCACATGAGAAATATAACTCAACTAGAGCCATTTTTTTATTAAAAATATAACAACAGCTTAACAACATAGTTAAGACACTATAAATATAAAATATGTTGTTATTCTCCCTAATCAGCAAAAATGCTGGTATCGGGATTCACAAACATTCAACATGACAAGTGAAACACAAAAACTAGTAAACCACTACAAAGCTCATAGTAGTAACGCATCAGACATGTGCCTCGAGGCTCAGATGTTCTTTTAAACTATTGATGAATGAACTATAGCCCGGCAACTCACGTATATGGACAGGTAATTCATTGAAGACTTCTATAGCCTATGTAAAAGGATTGTACAATCCTTTGTTCGTTCTTACCATGCTCAGGCGTAAGTCATTTCTACCCCTTGTATTATACTCTTAAAACTGGTTGTTGACTAGTAGATCGTTGTTGCTTTTGATTCTTTTGTTTTTTATTTTATATATTAATTCCAGATTAATTCTATTGGGTTTAATTCGCAGTGGTATGGTGGTAACCTTAAAACTGTAATTCCACGACTTAACGCCATTTCATCCACTGCGAATTTTTTATATTTGTCTGTGTGTCATTTTGTTAGCTGAAGTAGTTCTGCCTTTATACTATCGTTGTTATATTGNCGCTTTACTCTCAATCATTATTGGTTTTACTATAGTTCAGTCTGTAAGAATAAATCATTTTCTTATTAGTCCATGGGATATGCTTGAAGACTGGCAGTAAACAAATCTAAAGCAAATGAATTTTAAACGTTCAAGCCAGTCTCGATACTTGGTTTTTGCAACATTCATTAAGGGTAAATTATTTATTCTTAATTCAATACTTCCACACATTCAATTTCTTTGTTTAAATAGCATGTAAACGGTTTTTGCAGAGTTCACCTTAAGTTTATTATGTGCAAGCCAATTTGAGTATTTAGAGAGATCTACATTAACTGTGTTCTCCAGTGAATGTAAATCATATCCACTGTACAAAAGGACCGTGTCATCGGCGAACGTGAAATACCTTCCCTGCCCGGCCTGCCTCGTGACAGTACCATCAGTGTATACAACAGGGGTCCCAAAACGGATCCCTGTGGGACGCCACAAGTATTTTTTATATGCTCACTTATGCTCTCAATGAGAGAATAAGTTTTGCCCCTTATATCCATGCAACATAGGTTATTCAGAAGAACAGTATGGTCAACAACGTCAAATGCCTTTCTTAAATCAATGAACACTGCAATAACCATTCTTTTTTATCCAATTCCGATGTAATATTATGAGAGCGCTTACAGTGCTGCTACCCTTGATAAAACCATACTGGTACTCATCAAATCCCACATAACAATCAACAAAGTCCATTATTCTTGTATTTATTATAGTTTCAATAATTTTAGAGAAAGAGCACACAACTGTTTTAGGTCTATAATTTTTTAAGTTTTTTTTATCACCACCCTTAAATATTGGTATTACTTTTCCAGTCTTCAGTATCTCAGGAAATACCCCCACTTTGAAAATATCGTTTATCAAATTAGCAAGTATGGAAATGACAGTTTTTTTAATTATTATGTCTTTAACGTCTATGTTGTGGTTTAGTAATATTACTCCAAATGTTACCATTATTTACAGCAAATTAGTTCGAAAGCACGTCCCAAAAAACAAAAAACTCACCACGTCTACCTTCTGAACGTAGTTGCTGGGAAATATGCCGACGTTACTGCCTAACTTGCCCGTCCACCAGTCGCCATCTTTCTTGATCACTGCTATAACCTCCCCAGCGTTGAACGTCAGATCGCCGGGTTCTTGCGACTGGTACGGGTAATTCGCTATGAAATATTCTGGCTCGCTTTCAGGTTCTGCAAACGTTGCGGAAGCGTCGTTTTGGAGAGAAGCGGGTTCCAAGGAATTAGTCGTATCCGAACCTTCTGGAACTTCTACGATGCCTCTGAAAGAGAATGGTAGGCCTGAGTTTGTGTCTTGATGAGAACTGAAACGTATTTCGAGAAATAGAGTTTTCGAATTATTCCACGAGCCCCACGTTGGGTGCCGAATAATCTGTCGCCCTGGCCAAGTCACTGTATCGCATGGAATGAAGATAAATTCTGAGATTCAAAAATATCAAGTTTACTTTCATAAATCTGGATCTAACGAATGGAATGTACTCAATATCAAGTACCCATCACCAATCGATTAATGGAATCTATAGAAAAGAAGTAATACTATTGGGAAGTTGAACATAATTAGTTCAATTTACTGGGACTCTATTGGATGACGACTCTTTCAGAATTGCCATCGGATTTCGACTTGTTACACCACTATGTGTTCAACACTTTTGTAACTGTGGTGCATTTGTGGATGAATCAGGTACTCATGGGTTGAGCTGCGTTTTAGCGCTGGTCGTTTATCTCGCCATTATGCAATTAATGATCTAATCAAAAGGGCTTTAACTTCAGCAAAAATTCCTGCGAAAAAAATTATCATCATTCTTTGCAAGACTGTCGAATCTGCTTTAATTAAATGAGTTTCGACCTTCCTGTTATTTTTTTTTATTTGGGGTTGAAATGCAAATGTTTGTTGCTCCTGCAAGATATTTTTTAACATACAAATAATTTTTAGTGGGAAAATCTGACTTAACATTATTAATTGTATATCGATATTACATAGGAACATAATTATTAATTCACTTCAGAATTTGCCTTTGAACTTATCATGACAAGAGGAATAGTCACTGCTAATGCTTCTGCTTGCATTATCTCTTCCAAGTACCCTGGTGCAAAATTTGAACCTAAATTTTTTGGTGGGACAAAATATATCCCGCTTTGTAATGAGCTTATACTTAGTAGTGGTACATCGGTTCATATTCTTCCCCGCATCAAATAACTCACTCCTATTGGTCTTCGTCATCATCTGTTCAAGGCTGAATCACAGTACACAAAGCATTAGTTGTGAATAGCAAACAATCGAAACTCGTAAAGTACGCTGTGTTTCTCCATTTGAATTTCGGTTGAAAAGCGTATCCATTTATTGTAATAACCCCTTCTGTTGTATGAAATATAATTCAGGCAAGATAGGTAAGCTACCTGTTTCATTATTTCAATTTATAAGTTTATTTTTCATTCATAATCTCTAAAAATAAACCCTGTGCAGAATTTATCCCACCATACAACAACACATATTTTCTTACAGAAATGGCCAAGAGATTTTTCAAGGAACCCTTTCCATTTACGCTGATTGGGATGACAGAAGAGGAACTATACAATGAAATAAACCTGGAAGTCGATGCTACGGAGGAATATGCAGATATACCTTCTGATATTGGGTCTGAAAATGATAGTGATGGGGATAGTGACTGCGAAGTTACCAATGCAGATTGCTACCTGCTACCATAAAAATAATCAGAGACAATTTCAGGAGATGCATTTACCCACATGAACATAGAGCAATAGATGAGTCAATGATTAAAATTAAAGGTCGATCTTCTCTGAAGCAATATCTTCCAAAAAAAACTTATCAAAAGGGGATATAAGGTCTGGATGATTTGTGATGAAACAGGATATTGTATGGACTTTGAAATCTACACAGGCAAAGTAGCTGGAGAAGTGGAAAAGGCTTTGGGTTCTAGGGTTGTGAAAAGATTATCTTTAATGATTGAAGGTAAATCTCACAGATTACACTGTGACAATTTTTTTTCGAGTGTTAGTCTGATGAAAGACTTAGTAGATAATTATGTATATGCGTGTGCTACTGTCAATACTAATAGAAAACATTTACCAATTTTCGCACCAGATAGGACCATGAAAAGAGGTGATTATGAATGGTTTTGCAGTAACACGGGAGTTTGTGCTTATAAATGGCGAGACAAAAGAGAAGTTCATCTCCTCTCGAATTTTCACAGTCCTCATCACGTAACTGAAGTGAGATGAAAAGGAGGTGATGGAAGCATCACAAATATACCGTGCCCTGCTGTTCTTGTAGATTATAATAAATATATGAATGCAGTTGATTTTGATCAGATGTTTATGGCATTGATCGTAAAAGTAAAAAGTGGTGGCACAGAATAATGTTCTTTTTCTTGTATGCTGCTGTTGTGAATTCGTTCATCTTATACAAATTACTTGGTCTTCCGCAGTTATCAATGAAATACTTCCGCAGAAGTATCACAGATCATTTAGTCGCTGATAAATTGGTATCATCTTCAAGAATATCAACTGAATTGACGATACCAATAAAGAAAATGAAACCTTGTCAAAGTCTGGCTTTGAGGCTTACACAGAGTGCACATCAGCCTGAACGAACGATTAGAAGGAGATGCGCTCTTTGCAGTTCAGGAAAGTTTGAGATTAGAACAAACTGGTTGTGTTCAGTTTGTAAAGTTCCACTTTGTCTTGGGAAAAACAAAACATGTTTCCAGATATATCACAGCAATTTCAAATGAGGGAAATTTCAACTGATGGAATGGTGGGTTAAATTTTGAACCTCTATTTTTCTGAAAAAATTGGTTGATTTCAATTTTTTTGTTTGTTTGTTTGTTTTTCTTTTTTGAATGATTTCCATTTGGTTTGTTGATACATTTTTCAAAAAATAGGCGAAAAAATAAAGCTGTACATCTAGGGGGTGTTTAATTTTGAATTTCCTGTACCTGAAAGAGTTAAAAAATGCTACTTATTATGTAATGATTTTGTACACTCGATTCTTTATTTTTTGCTATAATTGTAAACAGAACTTGAAAAATTAAGAATACTCTATAAACTGCACCCACTTGACGAAATCTTCGTGTATGCCCTTTTTTTTTATCGTTATGGAACTACGTATCCAAACACCAGAGGTCAAACTAGAATGCTTGACCCGTAGTTGATTCAGTATCAAGCAAGGCCCCACGTTGGGCGCCAAAAATTAAACAAATCAATTTCAATATTATCTAAAATAAAACTCCAACCGTTGTAATTGTGTGTCAAACTCTACACAATAAAATCCTAAAATCAATTACTTACTCCAAGCGTTTTGCCTCAGTTTCATCGGTGTTTACTATAGCTTCACCGCCATCTGTTTCTCTTACACCGACACCATCGATAGGTTCCACATAAGCTTCGGGAAACCATCCGGTATGACCCCTTATTTCTCCAGCCAACCACCCTGGTTCCCCGGTTTGTTCTGCGGGAACCTTGAAAAAATGAAACTTTCAAGAAGCCGAAAGATTGATTAATACATCAGTATACAAACAATTGTCAAGATAGTTGGATTCTATATGTCCAAGACATCACATATTTTTTTACAATGGCAATGGTCCTTATACAAAATCATTTCAAGACACTCACGTTAATAATGTCTCCAGGTTGGAAGGAGATTTCGTCGTTGTTCCTCGCCACGAACTCGTACAACGCCCTGTACTTAACGACCGCCGCTAGCGTGGCAGATCCGACATTAGCCGGCCAATTCGTATCGACTGGCCAATCGGGGGCCGCTTCGTTAGTGTCTGGGCCCCAAGTGTCATTCGTCTTCCAGGCGTCGAAACTGTTGCCCTTATTGTCGTTCTTCATCTCGATCACCGCGGCCCGTTTCTGCTCGTACACCCCGTACAACTGCTCAATCAATCAATAAAAATATAGATAATATTCTATTGACAAAGTCATTTATAAATATAAACATTTAAAACACACTTTTTGAAAAAGATATGTTGGAAATTTCATTCAAAAATGAGAAGACTTAGAAGAATATTCAGTACCAGAGCCTCAGGATTTTTCTCCGACTAAGCGATGATGACTGCATTTGATTTTGACCACGAATTTGCCAATGTTTCAAAGGTGGCAGAAAGTTTTTGAAACATTTTTTTCTCTCTGGAGCAGAGGGGGTGGTAAAAATTACATATGATACATATGATATGATTACATATGACCTTGAATGACTCAGAATTTTACCTCTGAAGGTCGTCTGAAGGCCAAATGTTCAAAATGATCGGGTAATCAAGAGACACGGAAGAAACAAAACAAAATATAAACGATTCGTTCCTGGATGTCCTCTTCTAACGTAACCTTGATAATTATTTCCCGACAACTTTTTGAATTGAAACCCATATTTTAGATACCAGAAACAAAAATGGCGGAAAATCAAATATAGCGCAATCACCTCCTAATCCAATATTTCTATCCCTTAACTTCTGGGACATAGAAATCAACCTGCCTAGGAGGGACCTATGCGCCTGTATTTTAAGCGGAAATCTATGCTATTGAATTGTGTACGAGAGAATGGTAGAATCCAACTTCATACACAAGTCAATAAAAATATTCTCAGACAGTCAAGCGGCGTTGGAAATTCTTCGCTCCTACCGAGCAACCTAGCCTAATCTAGCCTAGCTTCTGGGGGTTTACAGTCTAGATATATCTACATCGATTAGGATACAAAGATTGTACTGAATCTAGACTGAATCTAAACCCCGAGAAGTTGGGAGATGAATTACGAGGTGAGTGGGCCATACTTTTTAATAATTCTTCGTTTAAATAAATGAAATACATATATCATTAAAAATTGAACAATACCTATCACTAATGAAAGAATAAAATAATTCATTAAAACCAACCATACTTGATATCCGGCTATTTCTTTCCGGAATCAAAAACATAGGTTTCAATTCAGAAAGTTTTGTGAAGTATAAATAATTAACAAGATCACAGTCGAATAAAAATATATTGCCTGGCAGCCTAAACAAATCGTAAAAACCTTGTACTGTTTTTCTGCTTAAATTTCAAGTCTTCTCGTTGCTTCTGCATTTCAAATACTCAAACGGCCTCTTGGAATCAAATTCAGTTAGTCAGGATCGTAAGGGATCGTAATTTTATTTTAAACTGACCTTGATCTGACCTTGATCATAAACAATTTCCAAGGTCAAATCTAAGGTCAAGAGAAAACTGTGAACGTGGTATACATTATTTTTTTTCCTATCATTCGGTATACATCACCTTCAAAAGATTTTCCAAGGTCAACTTTAGAGTCACTCAAGGTCAAACCCAGTCATAATTTTTCCTGCTCTGACTTTGACCTTCCAATAATGTTTATGTCATGATCAAGGCCAAATCGAAGTTTACCATTAGATAGCCAGAAAAAATCTTTGGGAAAGATACACATCCATGTATAGAGTTACTTAATTTAGAATTGATTACTTCCTTCCTTCCTTTCCTTGGAAGATTCCCTCATCTTTGTTTTTTGGAGTAGTAGAAAGCCAAAAACTTTCTTTCCCAAAAATTAATCACTCCTAAAAATATAGCCCCTTCAATTCAAATAAGATTCCTCTTGGCTGGGATTGAATCAAATAGGTGAATGAATGACATTACGATGTCATCGATGACATAAGCAGATCAAGCTTATTCCGTGACATTAAAAATCGTAATTCATGAATGAACTGTGTATGTTATCCAATTTGGTACTGAAGAGCCTTGGGGCAAGTGTCTTAAGGCGAAACATCGGTGTATACCAGTGAGGGTGACAATGTTACATGTAAGTGCAATTTATTACCATTCATTTAAAGTAGAATTCATGTGAATGTTATCTGATTTGTATTCCACAACGAATGTTTGAAATACAGACTGAGTAGAGAAAAGTATCTTCTATATAATTCAGTGTTCATATAGAAGTATTTGTTTCGTAAGATTTCTTTTTTTCTTTCGTGTAATTCAATGTTTATATGAAAGTAGCTGTTCCAGGAGGACTTTTTTTCAGTTTGTGTCTGAAAGTTACTTCTTTGCATGATCTACACATCCATGTATAGAGTTACTTAATTTAGAATTGATTACTTCCTTCCTTTCCTTGGAAGATTCCCTCATCCTTGTTTTTTGGAGTAGTAGAAAGCCAAAAACTTTCTTTCCCAAAAATTAGTCACTCCTAAAAATATAACCCCTTCAATTCAGAAAAAATCCTAAACCCCTAGTATGGTTTTCTCTTACTGCTCCATATTTTCGAGTAATTGAGCCGTAATTGTTACCTACCTGCTCGCAGTCCGCCACCAGACTCCTCAGCTGGCTCTGCAGCTCGGCCAGCTGCGAATTGTTGTTCTCAATGTCACCCATCTTGCTGTCGATCTCGACCTGCATGTCGTCGACCTTTGTCTTGAGGTTCTTGATCGTGACTTCCTTGTTTTCGAACGCCTGCCTTGCTTGCTCCGAGTCCTGCGCATTTATCTTGTTCTTGGCGTCGAGCTTGATCTTTTCTTGAGACAGCGAGAGCAGTCTAGCGTTCTGCTCCTTCAGCTTGTTCTTCAGCTGCGACATCTCCTGCATCTGCGAGTCTCTGGTCAGGCGCATGCCGTCGATGGTCGTTTTCACGTTTGACACTCCTGTGCGCGTGTCGCAAATCTTCTGCGACAGGTCCTTCACTTGGTCGTTGAGCGACGTTAGTTCGATCGTCAGGCTCTGGTTCTTGGCTTTCAACTTCAGCACGGCCTCCTGTTCACGCTGGCGCTGCTGCTGAAGCTCCTGCAGTCGCTGCTTCTCCCATTCAAGCTGCCGTTGCCTTTCCATCTCCTTGCGAGCGGCTTCCCTCTGCTCCGCTTGCCTCTTCCTTTCCTCTTCTATCAGGCGCTCCTTCTCTTGCTGTTCCCTCATTTGTTTTTCGAGCTCCTCTAGTCGTTTGCGTTCTGCTTCCTGGCGCGCTTTCTCCTTCTTTTCTTGTTCTTCGCGCTCTTTTCGTTCTCGTTCTTCGCGTTCCTGGCGCTGTTGGTCCAGTAAAGTTTTTCGTCTCCTCTCCAGTTCCGCCTGGCCTTTCTCGAAGTTCTCCTTTCGTTTGTCTTCGAAAGAATCTGAAATTGATTAAGAGTGTAAACTTTCACAGCCGGATATAACCGTGGCGAAGCTATTTCCTGGTCTGCAAGTTTTTAGTTATAACGTTTCGCCTACGACTGCGGTAGATATTTCAAATGCGTATACTTCATTGTTTGAATCTCCGTTTTTTTTTTGGTTAATTGACCTGATTCGTGTACAGTTCAGTGCAGGTAGCAATACTTAATTTATGTTAATTCGTTCTTCCTTTCGGTTGAAGGTGTCTGGGATTCTGAAGTTATATTGCCATCTCCTAAATAATCAGAGCAAAATAGATAGATAAATATAGATAGATATATTCATTTGATCATGTTAAGTATAAAATACATTTATGACAAGTCAGACAAGTCTATAAAATAAAATAAACAGCAAAAATTTGTAACAAGCTTACAGGGTACATTAACATATTCAAATTAAGTGTGGAGGTTCGGCGAGCATCTTCCTTTCTTCAAAAGTGTGTTTATGCACATGTTCTAAATATTCTGAAATGGAATAAAAACATTTTTTTTTAATATTTTTTATAACTTTTTTAAAACAAAACATATTCATATTTTCAATACTGGCAGGAAGTGCATTATACAATTCAAAATCGTAGGAGTTTTTTTGTGATTTCATCAGCCTGAAACGTTGAGGTCTAATAAAATTGTTGTTACGTGTATCATGATCGTATAAACTGGATTGCTTTGCTTGAGTAAACATATAAAGAAGGCACCGACATAATTTCATGGTGATGAATGATTAACGACAAGATTCCCTAAAACCGATTCCAGCAAAAATTGTAGACCTTATAATCGAGCCACTATTGTTTTTGATGAATCAGTCATTTTTTGTAGGTTGTTTTCCAAATGTATTTAAAACGGCTCTCATATTTCCTCTATATAAAAAAGGCGACAAAACTGAGGTAGACAACTACAGACAGATATCTTTACTTTGTTCCCTCTCTAAACTGTTTGAGAAAGTTGTTAGTAACAGAATTCTGAAAAAATAAATAAATAAATAAATAAAATTGGTAAATGGGACAAGAATAATATCCTGAGTGTCCTTAATAATTCTATTTCTATTTATTCCATTGATATCCGGACAAGCTGAATTTTTCAAAGATGTAATGATTTTTTGTACTTCATCACATGAAACAGGAGTTAAAAAGAATGAAGAACCAGGAGAGGGAAAATTTCTAAAGTTCACCAATTCAGAGATAGGCAGATTAGGTATAGATTTTACGATATTGGCGGCTACACTTGAGAAAAAATTATTAAAGTCATTTTCAGTTAATTTCTCTGAGAAACACCTTTGTTTAGTCTTTTTTCTGTGAAAATTCACAATGTTGCAGCTAGCCTTAGATTTGTTTTCAGCTTCAATAATATATGAATCATTTGCTAATTTTTTTTTGCATATCTGAGTTGCATATTATAGTCTTTTTTGAATTTTTCAAAGTTATTTATATCTTCAGGTGCCTTGGTACTGTCACATATAATTTTCAGTTTTGATGGATTATCACGATGTTTTCTCAATTCGTCATTGAACCAAGACACAGGATTCACATTGAACCTCGATTTCATTAGTTTCATTGGAAATATATCATCAATAAGATCATTGTAAATTTTCACCAACAGAGAATAATATCCTGAGTATCTGGGTGGGCCAATTTAGACTAGAAAATTCTCCGAGCTACATGAGATCAGAAATTCTGGAATTTGTGGAGGAATTATCATTCTCGGCAGAAACACCTGGTATATTACCATTGTATACTACACGAAAGCTGAACCAATTTATGACATTTATGAATAATCTTAATGGAAACATACAGTTCATAATCGAAACAGAGACATAGAAACAGATTAATCTCTTAGACCTGTCCATCACACATAATCATAATAAATATTAGTTCAATTTATTCAGAAAACCGAGATACACATACATTACAATCCCAAGTGATTTTTTCATCACTTGGGACTGTAATGTCTGGGTTTATTTGGTCGTGTGCGAATAGATATGAGCCACAATAAAGCCTTGCGAGTTGCGGTGGAGGGTCGAATATACCCACTCACTTTTGACCTAACCTAACCTTACCTACTGCCATTTTTAATATCTCTAATTTGATCTTTTGGATAAATTAATTTAGCTTCTGCAAACTGTTTCAGACTCATCGTGTTTGAAATACGACACCGAATTCGTTAAAATCCATTCAACTTACTCTGAAGCAATGTCGCCGCAGGATCTTGATCAGGCGCGGCGCTGCCTTGACTAGACACTGAAGTGGTCCTGGTTCTACGAAACGTAGGCGGTATGAGATCAGGAGGTAACTTGGCGGGAGGCGGATGACCTAGAGCAGCTTGTTCGCACAAGTGCATAGCTAAAACGAACTCTTCGGAACCTAACCTTCCGTCGGCGTCCATATCTGAAAGTGCCCTAAAATACGAAAAAACATTTAGATATCGTTCAAAAATTGTTTCTTAAAATAATTCGTGACACGAGAGTGGTCTGAAAAATTTCCGAGAGAGCAGCTCTCATACAGCGTGACTCACAGTCGATGGTAGGTTAGACGTTTCTGGAAAAAGCAAAGCATGATTTTTCTGAAAATTTCACCTCTCACATTTCCTTACCTGTTCTATCGATCTAAAATATTTTCAGCATTGCGGCGTTGCCACTTCCATCTAAAAGTCCTAGCAACTTTATTTTTTAAATGGAACACCCCGTATATTAATACATTTTTGGAATCGCTCTGCTGTTTTAATATTTTTTTGTTAATAATGTAATAGACAACAACAAACAAAAGTTGGTAATTCATTGTCAGCTCCATTGGAAGTGCAACATGGAGTTCCACAAGGAAGCATTTTGGGTCCGCTATTGTTTCTTCTATACATAAATGACATAAAGCATTACAATTAATGTGACTATATACACTTGTTCGCAGATGACACGTTAATATCAGTAACTGATAAAGATTTGAATAATGCCGTACAAAAGATGAATAATTCTTTAAATAGAATAACAGAATACCTCAAAATGAATGAATTGAAACTGAATGTAGACAAAACAAAGGGGATGATAATTGCCACACCATTTAAATACAGACAATTTGATATAAATGAAATTCACATCAAAATAGAAAATAATACAATTGAATTAGTTCAAGAGTTTAAATATTTAGGGTTTATGCTTGACAACCACTTAACGTTGAATGGTCATTTCAATTATATTCAGAAAAAAATACTCAAAAAACTATATTTTTTTTCGAGGGTATCTCAGCATTTGAGTATGAGCTCAAGAATTACCGTATATAATACAATTATCAAACCTCACTTCGAATATTGCCCGACCTTATTGTATGGTTTTGACCTCAATAAAATGAGATCACTACAAAAACTTCAAAATCGTGCAATGAGAATCACTTTGAGATGTAACAGATATACACCAATATCATTGATGTTGGGAACATTACAATGGCTGTCAATAGAAAATAGACTTATTTATTTAACTATGAGTTATATCTTCAAAATGTTGCATAATCTTCTTCCATCATATTTTCACAAATATATAACTATCAATACGCAAGTTCACCAGCATGATACGAGAAGTAAACATAACTTACATGTGACTAGGCAAACAAAAGCTTACAATATTAAAACCTTGGTGTTCCAGGGATTCATTGCTTACAACAGGTTGCCGGATGATATAAAGAAATCAGAAACTCTGCAACAGTTTAAAATAAAAATGATAAACCATTTACAGCAAAAGTTAAATCGTTGTATTGTATATCTATCAGGATTAATAATTTTTAGTATCAATACGAGTATTAATATATGTATCTTCTTACAGGATATGAGTGTATAGTGGGTAGTGGGATAGCATAACTTATTGGTTTCATATGTATGTTTGTATATGATTATTGTGGTATTTGGCTGTAAGTGAATGATATCAATATATGTATTTTCTTTCGGGCTATAAGTGTATATTGGGATAACATTCTTATTGGTTCATATGTAGGATTGTATATGATTATTATGGTATTTGGCTGTACTTGAATGGTTTTCTTTTAGCAAAACAATGGAAAATATAACTCAAAATGTAAATACCTAGTGTGTACGTATAAATTTAAAACAAAACAAATATATTAATACTATCGAAGGAGCTGCTAATTACTATATATAAGATTATACTTTGTGAATGTAGATTAGGATTACCTATTTCAATAAAGATTATTATTATTATTGTACCTATCTCTATCTGTTTTCGAGATAAAAAATAAATTGTGCTAAATATGGTCCAAAACATAACCTTAATTGAAATTAAGTACATCAGTACTCTCAATTCACGAAAAGTTTATATTTTGATGATAGTTTGGACAAACTCGAAATATTCAAATAACACCAAGAAATCGACTCCATATCATACAGGGCGTGCTAAAATTACTATTATTTCCATTGTGCATAAAAGTAGTCAAAAGTTCATTTTTGCAAATGAAACCCTCTGTATGTTACTCGGTAAATTGAAAAATGGTGAAAAATGCTTCAAAATGATATATCATGTCCCTATACCTAAATCGTCAAGTTTTCTCAATAAAGTCGCTTCTTCTAGATGGCTGATGATATAGACCTCCAGCGCCCACTTTGAGAAAAACTATGCTAGACGATCGTCAAATTACAGTGAGATAGCGGAGGTTATGAACATGTCAAAAAAAGTGTTTGTCACATATTAAATCAACATTTAGGCATGACAAAGCTGTACGCGCATTGGGTGCCGCGATTGCTCATGTTAGACCAGAAACGTGTTCAAATGAACATTTCCAACGCTTTTTTGGTGCAGTTTAGGCGCCGATTAATCACTGCAGATGAAACTTGGGTACACCATTAAACGCCCGAGACAAAAATACAGTTCAAACAGTGGACTGCAAAGGGGAAACCGACTCCAAAATAAGCAAAAACTGTTTTTTCAACTGGGAAATTGAGCGCGACTGTTTTTTGGGATAGTTATTTTCATCGATTATCTTCAAAAAGCACAAACCATTACAGGAATATACTACGCATCATCCCTTGGCAAGCTAAAGGCAGAACTTGCGGAAAAGTGGCCACATTTGCAGAAAAATAAAATCCTCTTTCAGCAAGCCAACGCACCGTCTCACATCTCAGCGGTGGCTATGGCGAAAGTCCACGAAATGCGGTTTGAACTGCTTGACCATCCGCCTTACTCACCAGATCTAGCCTCAAGCGACTTATTTTTTCTTTGTTAGCTTGGAAACTTCTCAGCCCACCCTCGTAAACCAATCAAATAAGAGGAAGCGTTAACTCACCAAATTTGTGCTAAAATGTTTTGTGGCAGCTTAGTTTGAACCATTACGTTCCTTGCTTGTGCTCCAGATAGAAATCCACTTCTGGTCCTATCGGTGGTGTTGAATATTTGGGTGTATTTCAGTTTCGTTTGGTGAGGGACAGCCCATTCTGGTTGTCTAAAATAAAAAAAAAATACTTGTTCTCCACAGGAAAAATGTAAATAATGATTCATAATCGTTATTATTGATATCTAATCAATATTCAGCATAAAATAAAAAAATTGATTTTCAATGATATTTGATTGATTGATTGATAATATGTTTATTGTTTAAGAACAAATTCTTGCTACAAACACAATGTCATAAATAAATATCAATATAAACATGAAGTATGAGATGTGAAGTATAAGTATATAAAATATAAATGATTAAAATAAAATATAAACTATATATACATGGTTTGTTTGAAGGTGATTGACAATGTTTCATGATGAATTTCACTAGTTCGGACTTCCATTGTCTACTATATAAAATGATTTGAAATCCCTGAAACAACTAAAAAAGAAGAATTGAAAATGAATAGTTGAAAATAACAATTATATTAAGCAAAATAAACCCTGAAATGAAATGATAGTG